GCGGCGGCCGGCTGCGAGGCGATCGTGGCGGTGGACGTGCCGCTGGGCCAGGTGAGCCTCCGGCACCCGCGGGCGGCGCCCGGCGAGCCGGCCAAGACCTTCACCTTCGACGCCGTCTACGACGCGGCCGCCCGGCAGGCCGACCTCTACGACGAGACGGTGCGGCCGCTGGTGGAGGCGGTCCTGCAGGGCTTCAACGGCACCCTCTTCGCCTACGGCCAGACGGGCACGGGCAAGACCTACACCATGCAGGGGGTGTGGGCCGACCCGGAGAAGCGCGGCGTCCTCCCGCTGGCCTTCGAGCACATCTTCACCCACATCGCCCGCTCGCAGAACAACCGCCAGTACCTGGTGCGGGCCTCCTACCTGGAGATCTACCAGGAGGAGATCCGGGACCTGCTGGCCAAGGACCAGAGCAAGCGGATGGAGCTGAAGGAGAGCCCCGAGGCGGGCGTCTACATCAAGGACCTCTCCTCCTTCGTCACCAAGAACGTCAAGGAGATCGAGCACGTCATGAACCTGGGCAACCAGGCCCGGGCGGTGGGCAGCACCAACATGAACGAGCAGAGCTCCCGCTCGCACGCCATCTTCGTCATCACCGTGGAGTGCAGCGAGACCGGCCCGGACGGCCAGGACCACATCCGGGTGGGCAAGCTCAACCTGGTGGACCTGGCGGGCAGCGAGCGGCAGAGCAAGGCGGGGGGCCCCCCCGCCTCCGGGGAGCGCCCCAGGGAGGCCTCCAAGATCAACCTCTCCCTCTCGGCCCTGGGCAACGTCATCTCCGCCCTGGTGGACGGGAAGAGCACCCACGTCCCCTACCGGGACTCCAAGCTCACCCGCCTGCTGCAGGACTCCCTCGGGGGAAACGCCAAGACCATCATGGTGGCCACCCTGGGGCCGGCCTCCCACAGCTACGACGAGAGCCTGTCCACCCTCCGCTTCGCCAACCGGGCCAAGAACATCAAGAACAAGCCCAGGGTCAACGAGGACCCCAAGGACACGCTCCTGCGGGAGTTCCAGGAGGAGATCACCCGCCTGAAGGCCCAGCTGGAGAAGCAAGGGATGCTGAGCAAGAAGAGGCGGCGGAGCAGCCGGAGGAGGAAGAAGAATGCGGCGGCCCCCCTGGACGGGGACGCCAGCCCCCCCGAGGAGGGGGCCCAGGAGGAGGAGGCCCTCGAGGACCTGGCCGGCCTGGAGAAGAACGTGAAGGACTACCTGAAGGAGCAGAAGGAGCGGCTGGAGGAAGAGAAGGCCGCCATCCAGGACGACCACAGCCTGGTCAGCGAGGAGAAGCAGAAGCTGCTGCAGGAGAAGCAGAAGATGATCGAGGAGCTGCGGAAGGAGCAGGAGGCCACCCAGCTCCTGGCCACCAAGTACAAGGTGAGCCTCGCGGGGTGGGGGTGGGGGTCTCTCTCTCTGTGTGTGTGTGCGCGCACGCGTCTAAGGGGCTGTTCAGGGCTGGCCCTTTCCTCGCCACTTAGCAGAAAGCAGCCCCGTCCAGGGAGGGCGTTCTGCTCCCCACGGGCGGGCGGCCAGGAAGAAGGGGCAACCTGGCCAGCCCTCGTTTATCATCGATCTCTCTGCTGGAACGGGTCTAGGCTGGTGCTCAGTAGAGAGGCGTGACCCTGTGGATCGGGACCCATGGGTGCAAGGGCTGTGGGTGTGTGTGTCCTGTGCTTTTAAGGACCTCGGGGTGCCCGCAGGGGACACTGAATGACGGGCCCGCTGGCCGGCCTCTGTTTATGCGCTGTCATAGGTCAGATTCCTTTGCATGGCCTGTCAGTGGCTGCTGTCACTGCTGCTGCTGCGCGGCTGCTCACTCCATCTGGCGTGCGTGCCTGCGTGCGATGGGAGTGGCCGGATGGCTGTGGGGCAACAAAGCCCAGGAGGGGAGGGGGGCTGGAGCGGCCTCCGGCTGGATGGCTAGCTGGCTGGCGGTTGGTGCTAACGAGCCCCCCCCTCGCTGCTGCGTCATAAAAGAAAACAAAGCCATGATGATGATCATGATGATGATGATGGCAGAGACCAGGCCCTCTCCATCACAGGGTGGAGGTGACCTCCAGCAACACACACAGGAGCCTGTGGAGGGGGGGGGTTGGCCCCATCCTCACACCCGGTTTCCTTTTGTCTCTCCCAGTGGGTTTTGACAGGAGAGGCTCCCCCCTCCCTCCCTCCCTCCCTCCCTGCAGCATCTTGGGGGCTTCCAGGCCCCCCTTGCCTCTGGGCTCCCCCTTCCTCCCCGCCTACTGGCCAGAGGCAGCACCCTGGTGTGGCTTGGTGGTGCTTGAGGTGCTGGCCCTCCCCCTCTCCCACCCCCCCACCTATGGCCCTGTTTAATGATCGCCTTGCCGGCCTCCGCCCTGCCCATCCGTCCGTCTGTCCGTGGGGCAGGCTGCCTGGGACTCCTTTGTGCAGGGGGGCTTTGTGCTGCCCTCCCCTTGGGTGGCCCAGGCCAAGGTCACGAGAAGGCCCTAGAGAGAAGCCAGGTGTCCCACCGGCCACCGTCTCTCTTTCTCCCTTTCTCCTTCTCCGCCAGAGAGCCGTGTTCCCATCACTACGGCCACGCTCCTCTCCCCAAGCAAGCCAGAGAGGACAGGCGCCCATCGGCCACTGTGCTGAGGCCCAGGGGATCCTCTCTGCCTGCCCTCGTCCTTGTTTATGAGAGAGAGAGAGAGAAGAACATCCTTCTCGGGTCTCCTTCAGGGGCAGACAGGTGTGTGTGTGTGTGTGAAATGGGAATAAACAGGCACCGTGACATCCCAAGGTCCGGCCAGAGACCGCCTGCCCCTTTGTTCTGTTTATTTCTGTCCCACGGGGCAGAGAGTAGGGTTTAATTTGAATGTGCTGGGTACGGATGCCTCTGAGCATGCTCAGAGTTCTTCCCCTTCTTGCGGTGGCCCATTGGAGAAAGGCAGAAGGGTTGTTCCTTTGCCTGCCGCCTCCTCCTCCGTGGAGCCTGGAGGATCCCCTCGCCCGCAGAGACAACTCGGCTACCTTGGTCAGCTGCTGACCTTGTAAACGCACCTGGTGAGCCGAGTCCTATCTACCACCACCCCTTTTCAGTGCCACCGGTATATTTGCACCCTGGGCCATCTTCCCTCTGAGCGTGCGCAAAGTGCTGCTCCTTTGTTTCCCAGGAACCGCCACCGGCTCAGGCAGATCCCCCAAAGCACCCTTCCTTCCTTGTTCCCACGGCTGGAGGATCCCACAGGGCCTGCCCACAGCTGTGCCGGCTGGGGGTACTGAGCCCTGTAGTCCAAGGCAGGGCACCAGCTTGCAGAAGGCTGTGGGCGATGGGCTGTGTGAGGGACGTGTGGCTGCCGGGGGTGTGTGTGTCTCCTCCAGATCCACAGGCCGGTAAAAAAGCTGTGCCAGGGCAGAGGTTCCAGGTTAAGGCAGAGCAGAGAAGGGACCTCATCCTGCACATCCTCCCAGTGTCCAGCACGCAGTTGGGAAGGGCTGAGATCCCTTGTGCCTGGTCTAGAGATGTAAAATTTCCCCAAAATTTACATTTTGCCCCCCCCCCCCCGCTCCAGAAAATAGCCATCAATCAGTTGACAGATCCGTTGATAGCTTTTCCCAGTCTTCCTTTCAATCCCTAGTCTGTGTGGTTTGTTTTTGATGACTTATAGGTTTCCTATGTAGGTTTCTATGTTTGTGAGTCACCAGGCAGGCAGAGAGAAAGTAAGTGGCCGGCCTCAGGCCGCCCAGTGAGTTTTTTGGTGGCTGAGTGTGTGTGTGTGTGTGTGTGTGTGTGTGTCTCCCAGTTGCAAATCTTAGTCCAGTCCCCTACCAGTGGGGGAGGGAAGGGGGACGCCTCGCACGCCTTGTGGCCCAGGCCCCGGGCTCCTGTTTGAGAGGCAAAACCCAGGACCCCTGAAAGGCTTGCGCAGAGCAGGTGCGCCCTGGCTGGGGGGGGGCAGCATCTTCCTCTGGGCGAGGCTTCCTGCCAGGCCCTTATCAGGCGGGATGTTCCTCCCCCCCCAAGGGGAAGAACGGTCCCCACCCCTCTCACCCTCCTGTCACTCTTTGGAACCCAGGCGTTCGGGGGGGGCTGCCCAGCAGTGAGGGGAAAGCTGTTGGCATATGCTCAGAGGCACTGCCTGATCCGGTGTGGCGGCAGCTCTGCTTGGCCCCGCAGCGTCCTGCGCCCAAAGAGTACGATCTGGCGGGTGCCTCACGGTCCAGCGGGCGGCTGGCCTCTTCCAGCGGCAGAAAGAGGGAGAGGCGCACAGCACCGCACGTGGGGCCAGCATGAATGGGCCCCACTGTCCAGGCGGGTCGCCCCCTCCGCGAAACAAGCACAATGGCATCCGCAGGGCCTCCTGCTCCCACACGGCCACGGGCCCTGGGGTGGCTCTGGCGATAAAGGAGGCCCTTGTCTGCCAGAGGGAGGGGGAGGGCATTTTACAGACAGAGAGATGGAAAGTGGGGCTGGGGGGTCCCTCCCCCCTTCACACACATGAGCGGTCAGGCTCTCTTTTCCCAAACCTGGGTGTTTTGGAATCTGCTGCATTCTTGACTTCCTGGGTGGGTTGTCTGGTTTGTGTGTGTGTGTGTGAGAGAGAGAGAGGAGGGGGGTGGGTATTCATCCGTGCCAAAGAGTGAAATGAGCCATTGCTGTCCGAAGGGAGGTGCACAGGGGCGGGCAGGCACGCACAAAGGCCAAGGTGCACGAGGCTCCGCAGACAGCCATGGGGAGTGCTGGATACGGGTTGCAGAAAAGCGTTGCCAGTTTCAGCAGGACAGACCCCACCTTCCAAACCCCTTCCGCCAGCCTGGTCGCCTTGCTACCTTACTCCCTGTGTGTCTCTCCTTCTCATTTAGCCCATGGATTTTCCTTTTGTCCTGCCCTTTTTCTTCTTGAGTTTCGTGTGGGGCAGGGGCCGTTCTGTCTTTTCCTCCTGTTCTCCATGTCCCCAGTTTCCTCCTTTGGCTCTCCTTCCTACTGCCTTGAGCCCATGCCCGGTTTGGGCCTCGGATGCCCCTGGGTAGACTAGAGCAGGATCTGGCGCAGGGTGGAGGGGAAACAGAGCAAAGGAGGGAATGGCCTCAGGCCGTCTTCGCTCCAGGATCAGAAGGTCCTGGCCTCTGTCTGGGAGGGGAGCGGGGGGGGTCGTATATCCATGACTTTGGATCTTGGCCCAAAGGGGGATCCACAGCCCCCTGGCCCCAGGACTGCTCCTGTCCCCGCGTCTTGGAGAGGGGTGAGGTGCAAGGGTGAGCAGCAAGCAGCCTGAGGATGTTCTGGTGTTGGCTGGTGCAGGAAATGGGAAAAACCTCCCCCACCCGGAAGGGATGGGGCCTAGATCCAGGCGAGGTGGGCCTTGCTCTCCTTCCTGGTGCTCTGGGGGGGAACACCTGCCGCTTGCTTCCTGGGCCCTCCCCGTCGCAACACACCTGCTGGCCAGCCAGGAAGCCAAAGAGCCAAAGGAAAATCCTGGCCCCCAAACCTTCCTCTCTCTTGGGGAAGGGGCTGACGCCTCAGACCCCATGGTGCGGTGCCAGGGGTCTTGGGCCAGATCCTGCCAGTAGCCAAGGCGCCCTCCAGAGCCATCCCTGGCGTGTGCGCCGCTGGCAGGGACGCAAGGCAGCCTATCCTTCCTCCTGTCGGTGCTAAGTGGGGGCTGTGCCCCTCCACAGGGGCGCCCCTGCCGTCGGACTGGTCCCCGGTGGGGAGACAGGTCCGAGGGGGGCCTGAGCGGGAGGCATTGTTCCATCACCGCGGTCGCCTTAAGAGGAGCCTCACAGAGGGCGGTGGGGGGGACGGACAAGGCTGACCCAGTTTTGGCAGCAAGTCTGGGTCGTTGGGGTGAGCGAAGGAGCCCGGCTTGCTTTGGGAATGTGTGCGCACGCCCCGTGTGGCTTGGGTGATGTGATGCTTCCTGGCAGAACCGTCTGGTAGAGAAAGCAGCCGCAGCAGGACTAAGCTAATTATACTTTGAGGGGGGGGAGGAGAAATGACAGTTCTGGGCAAATAGCCCCCCCCTTTCCTCTGCCTCCCCCCCTTTCCTCCAGCTTAGCATTCAGCAGAAGGCTGTTGTTGGGCAGGTTTCAAGCTGAGCTCACACTTCCTGCATCCTTCTTTTATTTCAAGAAGCCCCTGGATGGGTTGCCTTAATGGACGGACAGCTCAGCGGGTTTGGTGTCAGGCTGCGGAACCGGCGGTTGGGAGTTCGATTCCCCCTCTGTGCATCTCCCGGGAGAAGAGGCAGCCCGGGTGGCCCTGGGGGAAAAGCAGCCGGGGGGGGGGCGCTCAGGTCGCCCCCAGAAGCAGGGAAGAAGAGAAAGCACTTCTGAACACTCTCTGCAAACCCTGGAACGTGCCTTGATGGCAGATAACAAGTGGCTTTTTTCTTTTTATTATTATTATTTTATTT